AACCAGCGAACCCCGGGCCGCCGCAGCGGAGCGCGCGCACTTAACCGCTTGCGCCACCGGGCCGGCCCCGGAGTGTTCTATGCTATCCCAGCTTTGGGTGTGGTTATTTTATATAGTAGATGCTTCTGTGGGTTAGGGAAAATAGAAACAGTTTTTGTTTTTTCATGTACTGTATTAAATTTAGAACATTGTTCAGAGATTCAAACTATGGTGGGAATTCTAGGAATAAAATCAATTTAGGGCTTAGGATAATTTACTTAGAGCTCCAGGAGTATCTTTTCGTTTCTTTAAAGTAAAATTCATATGCTTGTCCACTGAAAGAGTTACTTTTTTGAATCTGTCAATTTTTTTTTTCCCCAAATGGGCTACTCTCCTGACAATATTATCTGATTCAACAGCAAATACTATGTTTTTTGAGTTTCTATTATGTGCCAGGCACGGTGGTAGGCCCTGGGGGTACAGTGGTAAACAAAAGGATGTGGTGTCTGCCCACATTGAGTTTATGATTTAGTGCATTTTGTTTCAAACTTTGGCTAGTAACTCTAAGAAGAAAAACTTTACATTGTAATCAGTATACATCTAAGTATGTGTGTGTGTACATATATGTATACATGTGCACATATGTATAGGTAATTAAAATATCATGAAACTATAGTTACCTCACTACATGTGGTGTGTAGTACACTCTGTTTTAGTTTAGGTTTCTGCTTGTTTATTTTAATGCTGGTCCCAACCCATTAAATTCATTCACAACTCGCTAATCCTAAAGGATCCTGACCTGTAGTTTGGGAAACATTGATATAGTGGACTCTTCATCTTTGAGGAAGAGTCAGAAACAAGGGATCAAGAAAAAGTATTAAAAGGAAATACAGGGCTGGCCCTGTGGCTTAGCGGTTAAGTGCTCGCGCTGTGCTACCGGTGGCCCGGGGTTCGGATCCCGGGCGTGCACCAACGCATTGCTTCTCCGGCCATGCTGAGGCCGCGTCCTACATACAGCAACTAGAAGGATGTGCAACTGTGACATACAACTATCTACTGTGGCTTTATGGGGTAAAAAAAAAAAAAAGGAGGAGGATTGGCAATAGATGTTAGCTCAGAGCCGGTCTTCCTCAGCAAAAGAGAGGAGAATTAGCATGGATGTTAGCTCAGGGCTGATCTTCCTCACAAAAAAAAAAAAAAAGGAAATACATCAGGATATAAGCAGCAGTTGTTTGAATGATGGAAATGTTGAGTGGGCTTTTTCTCTTCTTTTTTACTTTCGTATATTTTCCAAGGTTACTATAATAATATGCATAAAGAAATTTGCTTTCATAAAGGAGCAATATGGATTATTTAGAAAATAGTAAAATAAGTTATGATTTTTGTTTTTTCTATAGTATTAAAATTAGGAGGAACTATAGCATATGGTTAAGTACATAAGGCTTTTGAGTCAAGCAGCTCTTGGTTTTAATTCTGGTTATATCATTAATAAACTGTAATATGGGGAACACATTTAATATTTTAGAATTTAATTTTCTGTATCTGTAAAATGGAGATAATGATACCTACCTCATTGGATTATTATGACTATTGAATGAGTTAATGTATATAGATTACTTAGTATAATACCTGGCATCTAATAACTTTAATAAATGGTAAAGTTACTTTTCTGGCCTAATATTTTTAAAAAGATCTCTCAGAGTCCTTTTTTAGCTTAGAATTGTAGGTGAAGTCTTATAAACTTAAGCTATAGATAAACTTACATCATCACTTATGTGGAAAAAAAATTAAAACCTTGGTTGAAGACCTAATTTATTTATCTTAATGGATTTAGCATGCTTCCTTAGAAAATTTGGGCACTTAAAGAACTGTGTAATCTGCTTTTCCATAAGACAGATTTTAAAATAAGGCTGCATATTCCTGTGTTTATGAGTTTATAGACACCTTTCTTCCCTCCTGTAGAAGATGCTTATAAAATCCGGATCCGTATTGATGACGAGCCTGCCAATCTGGACATTTTGGATACGGCTGGACAGGTATTAAATCCCAGAATGCTATGAGTAAAAGTCTTTTCACTCTAGTGAAGGGGAGGGAAGGCTTATGCAAAGAAGATCACTAGTTCATCTCTTTAATTTTTCATGCACTCTGACTCAGGATAGCAGGTAATCAACATATCTCTTCTTTAATCTGAAATAAATAGCTAATGTGTGTGTAGTTCTAGGTTGCATCAATACATTAATGACCTTGTTTCCCTCCAGGCAGAGTTTACAGCCATGCGGGATCAGTACATGAGGGCAGGAGAAGGGTTTATCATCTGTTATTCTATCACTGATCGTCGAAGTTTCCATGAAGTTCGGGAGTTTAAACAGCTTATTTATCGAGTTCGACGGACTGATGATACACCTGTGGTTCTTGTGGGAAACAAGTCTGACTTAAAGCAGCTAAGGCAGGTGAGGATAGAGTTGAAAATGCTGTTGTTGGGGCGGGCCGGGTGGCGTAGCAGTGAAGTACATGTGCTCTGCTGCGGCGGCCTGGGGTTTGCAGGTTTGGATCTTAGGCGCGGACTGACGCACCGCTTGCCAAGCTGTGGTGTGGCGGCGTCCCATATAATGTAGAGGAAGGTGGGCAAAGACGTTAGCCCAGGGCCAATCTGCCTTAGCCAAAAAAAAAAAAAAGAGGATTGGCATCAGATGTTAGCTCAGGGCTGATCCTCCTCAAAAAAAAAAAAAAAAATGCTGTCATCTTGTGGGATTAGTCATTTTTGTTTCTCGGTTTATAGATTCCTTTGCCTTAAAATAAAAATTAAAAATTAGCTTCTCCCTAACCTTGAAAATTTCCCTATATCTACTAATTTTCTATTATTTTGGATAAAATCTGGATTTTGGGAATCAGTTTACAAGACAAAATCCACAGGATAGTAATCAGATGACAAATAGAATACCCATTAAGTGTTGGACCATGGAATAGTCAGTTCCTAAAACCTCAGAAATAAATCTGTTTATGTTGTAACGGGAGAAACTTGGGTTAGACTTCAAGATATACTTCCTAATGGTGAGGATTATGAGCCTTGGAAGGGGAGAGTAAGAGAAATTGTAGAGGATTTTAGAGTAAGTGATACCTTTCAAGTTAGCAACAATGTTTTAAATTTTGCTGTTTGGTGTAGACTTGAAGGTGTAGTAAAACATTCATAACTACTACTGGAAGCCATGAATGGTATAAACCTTTTGGAAGTAGTTTGACAGTAGTTAAATTCATTAATGCTTCTCAGTTAATTCCCATTTGAAAAATCTGTTCTGGGATTTATATATAAAATATTTGTTGCCAGGCTATTTATGGTAGCACAAAATTAGAAAAAGTCTAAATGTCCAAAAGTAGGAGAAATTACGGTGTTTCCATAATTGGATATATCGATTTTAGGTTCCTTATAGTTTTTAGTATGGTAGTTTAAGTATATATTTCTTTGCCTTGTGTTTTACTTCTTAAAATGAAAAGTATGAAGAAAATTAAAATGGCATATTTGATATCTATAACTATTCCCTGTCCCAAAAAGTTATCTTTAAAATAGACTAGAAATAGAATCACATAATTTGAAGGCAGAAGAAATCTTAGAAGTCATGTAATCCAGCCTCCCAACATTACAAAAATCACTACACTCTACTTGAACACCTCCAGAGTTGAGGAGCCCTCTTCCTGTTAAGGTAGCCCTTTCACTTTTTGGGGCAGTTGTAATTGTTTTCCACTGTTACCACTATAAATTTTCTCATGTTTACATTTTTAAAGGTCACCAAGGAAGAAGGATTGGCTTTGGCCCGAGAATTTAGCTGTCCCTTTTTTGAGACCTCTGCTGCCTACCGCTACTACATCGATGATGTATTCCATGCCCTTGTACGGGAGATACGTAGGAAAGAGAAAGAGGCAGTACTGGCCATGGAGAAAAAATCTAAACCCAGAAACAGTGTATGGAGGAGACTAAAATCACCATTCCGGAAGAAGAAAGATTCAATAACTTGAAGGGAAGATGTGGAGTGTTTATCTGTGAACTGCAGTGCTTAATCAAAGCAGTCCAGTAACCTGCATTAGTGAGCATGGTGCTTGCTCTTTCTCCTGTTATGACCGTTATTTTAAAAGTAACTGATGAAGGGAACATGCCTACTAGGAGTTTTCAATGATGTGGTATTTAAAATATTGTCTCTTAGCTAATTCTGATTTATTAACCCAGTGGAGCACTGTCTACTTTTAAATTGTCTCATTAGAATTTGATCACCCATGTTTTGGGTCCTGTTGCTGATATTAATTAATTAATGTCAATTGTTTCTACCCAGGGGAATATGTATACCATGTGTGTTTGACTAAGCTCACAAGAGGAATTTTTTGCCGTGCACTACTCCACATTATCTTTCAACTCCAGTTTCCTGGGACTATCCCAGAGAAGGACTTCAGTCTTTTCTATTCTATTGCTTCCTGGAGACAGAACAAAATCATAGAGGGAAATCTGTGCTAAAGAGATCGGTGCTAACGTTCAGCAAATAGCCGTGGAACTGTCTCCTGTTGCAGATAATGGAGTGATGAGATTTGGGGAAATCAGGCCATTTGTTTGCAGGAACTTGGCTAGCAAAAGGTAGGATCAGAACAGTATTCCCATATGAACCTGGCTCTTCTAAGAAGTACACGTTTGACCCAGATGCGCTGGGTAGATGAGAACAAACAGAAGCATATAAAATGTAATGAAGCTTTCTCTTATGAGGTTATTTTACTCTTCCTTTCAGGGTTTGCCTTTCTTTAGCTTCAAAGGTAAACACTTCGGGAACCATTACTGGATTACTAAACTATCGTTTAATCTAAATCCTTGGTTGGGACAGCCATTGCCTTGTGCAGGTTCATTTTTTTCGCTGGATATGCACGCACCAATATATTTAAAATAATTGCTTCCTCATGTTTTCCCTTAGCTTCCCCGTGATCTTTAGAAGAGGTAGGCCTGGCAAAATGGTTTTTAGACCCTTCGTCAGACTGACTGCATTTTCCATACAGAAGTGACATCAGGAGTTTGAGTAAAATTGTGTATGTGCCTCCTTGACGTTGACAATCACTAGACTCACTGCTCGAAGAAAGCCTGTGGTATTTCTGTTTAATGAGCCAGTCTTGAAGCTTTAAAATTCCCATATGTTGAGTTTCTCATTGAAGATTTCTTTACAAGGACCTTGCTAAGTTCAGCTCAGGGTAGTCTGAGCCTTGACAAAACTTAGCCTAAGAGAATACCACTTTGATACCTGTGCATAGTTGAGAAACTGTTGTCCTGGGAAGAAACAGCTTTAAATATTGGTGGTGAGTTCTCCCTTTTAGAATCAGGATTATTTTGATATCTGAATTTGTTATGTGTGGAGATTAAGTGCAAAAGTGCTAAGAGTAATGTAGTCTATATTGAACATTAAATGTCACTGAAGCAGTGTTTGTGTCCACTTTAAACTCTAAAAACATGACTTTATGTAGCACCACTTAAAAGCACACAGCTCAAATTACTGTTTTCCATTTCTATTACAGGCAGAAAGACAGGGTTGTTGTGTTTTTCCTTATAGTCAGTGGTATATGTTCTAGGTTTAAAGAAAAGTGATGATTGTAACTCTTTTAGCTGTGTAGTGGTCCCTTTTCAAACTCCTGGAAATGATTTTGCCACCAAATAAATCATGTTTTATGGTACTTAAGCCATCCAAAAGTGAAAGACCCAGAATCTGAATCTATGCAGGACAAAAGTCTTTCAGGAATCATAGCACTTTGGAGAAGCGTGAAAAGAAATACAGTGCAATTCTATTTTAACAGTATTTCACAACATTTAAACTAGCTTGGAGCCTTTTAAGTTTAATGCCTTAGCTTCTCGTTACTAATGACCTATGGAATTGTTGTTAGCAGCAAGGAAGAAGTTGACAGCTATATCATTATTTGAGATAGTCAAAGCAGCAGAGAACATTGCTAGAAAGATCTGTAAAACAGGAGGGAATCTGTATTGTATATAAGAAAAATAACAAATTAGTGTCTTTTAAGACTATCACTGTCATTATTTTGATCGTTGGATTAATTAGCCCATTAATTAGTATTGAGAATTCTATTCATGGTGCTAAATAGTATGAGGGGTATAATACGTGTAAGTCGTAGCTCTGTTTTTAGTGATATAATTTATAAGCTCTAAGTAGTCAGCTTTATCCAATTTGAGGGCATTAAAATCAATTACTGCCTGGAACTTTGAAGAGAGAAAAATTCAGGGACAAGTTGAAAAGCACTGGAACTGTTCATGTCCATACTAGATTGGTAAATTACAAAATTTAGAAGCTAGTCTCTAGAATTAGCTGTTTAGAATTCACAAAGGGATATATGTTTTAACTTCATGATATATTAGCAAGAATTGGTCTACTGTGATGTTTGGGGAGGAGAGGGGAGAGAAAAGTTTTTCACTTATGCACTTGTATATGAAGACAGTTTGTATGACACAATACAAAACTTTTAAACAACTTGTTGGGCTTTTCCTTTACTTACCTATGTGTGGGTAAAAAATGTTTGGAATCATTGTAAAGGATCATTTTAAGAAAAAAATTTAATACCATGAGATTTTATATTCTGGAAAATATTGATTAAAAAAAATTGAGTGCCCACCATGTACAGAACACTTGTGCCAAGTGCTAGGGAGCATGCAATGGAATGCTGCTTCATTCGGAGATTACCTCTTGCGTGGGGAGACAGGAAAAACACACATTGAAAATGGTAGTGATTTGCCCCCGATCAAGGGTTAAAGTTGTTTCAAGTATGTATATTAAATGTGAGAGAATGAGGAATAATTTTTTATGTGAAGGTCATTTCCTTTATCGCCACTACTCTAAATGGGCGTCAGTGTTGGTAGAGAGGACTTAGTTTGGACATTAAGGGAATGTATTTTTGTGTCTTCATTATTTAACATTTATTGACTGGTCAGTAACTGTCAGTGTGGTCCACCACATGAGGAATGGATGAGCAGCATTCCATTTTCTAATGTAACCTCTGTCTGTTAGGGTAGGCAATGAAATTACAGTCAAAGTATTTACGAGCCTCTTCTGTGCCCTAAACACTGTTTTAAGAGCTGTGAGGAATTCAAAGAAATATATCCCTGCTCATGAGCTTTGATAAAATTTACATATACAAAACTAGAGATCAATCTTTTTTTTTTTTTTTTTGTGAGGAAGATCAGCCCTGAGCTAACATCCATGCTAATCCTCCTCTTTTTGCTGAGGAAGACCGGCTCTGAGCTAACATCTATTGCCAATCCTCCTCCCTTTTCATTTCCCCAAAGCCCCAGTAGATAGTTGTATGTCATAGCTGCACACCCTTCTAGTTGCTGTATGTGGGACGTGGCCTCAGCATGGCTGGAGAAGCGGTGCGTCGGTGCGCAGCGGGGATCCGAACCCGGGTTGCCAGCAGCGGAGCGCGCGCACTTAACCGCCAAGCCGTGGGGCCGGCCCGAGATCAATCTTAAAGTAGTAGATTATGTGCTTCAAACTGGAAACGTTATATTAATTCAAAGAAGGAAGGAATTGGTATGGCCAGAGCTGACTCTTGAATAGCTAATGGGAGCTAAAGCTCATGATAAATAATTGATAGTCTTGCACTTTTTCCAAACTCAATCTTGAGAAGGGTGAGACAGAAAAATGTGAAGTCTTATTTTTTAGGAGTCCTTATTAACTTTGACAAGCACTTGCTTTAAAAGATGGTTCAATACTCAAAATAGATTTGCAGTAATCCTGGATTTGCTCAAGCTTCAAATTAAAATTTATTTTCAAATTGCTCTTCCCACATTTCATCAGCTCAGCTGGAACTGAAACTTAGGTGATATTACCATACAGGGAAGTAGTTGGAAATCCTAGTTCTCTGACTAAAGAGATTATCACTGTGTGCTCTAAATGTTCTCATTGCACAAATTAATTTTATCTTTCTCCCCTGTCTCCTCACTAAGAATTGCTGTGAGGGCCGGCCCCGTGGCTTAGCGGTTAAGTGCGCACGCTCCGCTGCTGGCAGCCCGGGTTCGGATCCCGGGCGTGCAGCAACGCACTGCTTCTCCAGCCATGCTGAGGCCGCGTCCCACATACAGCAACTAGAAAGATGTGCAGCTATGACATACAACTATCTACTGGGGCTTTGGGGGAAAAATAAATAAATAAAATTAAAAAAAAATAGCTATAGCATGAATTAGAATAAATAAGTAAAGAAAATAGCAACTGGATTTGTATTTTACTCAAGTTTTGACCAATTTTTTTCAGTGAAAGTTGGGAGATGAGTCTGTTGCTATTCTTCCTTGGTTTATTAAACTGTGCTTCAGTGGTGTGCTGTTCGCCTGTTTGTCTAGACTGCACCCATATCCATGAAGAAAGCTAAAGCTGCCTTAGCTCTTGTCTGCAGAAAGCACATTCTCCTTTGATGAGTTGAATTGAATTGACTTGCCTCCTGTTTGGCATCACTATTTAGGAGCACAGGACCCAGTATGGCCTGGAGGAACCAGGATGGATTTTAGTTTTTAGGAAATGTGGTCAGATAGCATAAGTGAGTCAACCCACCTATAGAGCCTTGCAGACCTCTTTCCCTTCACTGTCCAGATGGTCAGGGCTGGGGCGTGGCCAGCTTCCTTAGGCTAAAATGAGATAGTTAACGTAACCAAAGACTTATAACACGTGGTTTCTGCTCCTGGGGCGTTATTGATTGGGAAGACAGGGCAATAAATAGGCAACATAAAAACAGAGACATTACATTGACTGATTAAAAGAATACATTGAAAGATCTAGGATTGAATTGGTAGGTGGAATTAGACCATGGAAATTTCTCAAAATTGTAGTTTGGAGAGGACAAAAAGTGTGACTTGGAACAACAGGAAAGTCAAGAGTCACGTATGTAGGAGAACTCCGATGCAGGATTTGAGAGTGGGAAAGTCAGGACTCGTGTTGTACCTGGAATGGGTGTCGAGAAGCAAGCTTGAGGTTAAAGGGTAAGAGCTGATATAGCAAGAGACCAATAGAGCAGGACTAATCGGGTGAAAAGCCGTGAAGGCCGGACTGAGGTGTGTAGGGTTCCCAAATACCTGGTTATTCTGGATCAAAAACAGCTGGAGAGTTGTTTTGTTTTTCATTTTCTCAGCCTCTGAAAATTTGGATCTGATAGATCTCTGATAGGACCCAGGAATCTATATTAAAACAAAAACCTCCCCAGGTGATTCTGAGTGCAGCCATTCCTAGTTCAGGAATCACTGAGCTGGATGATGTCACAGTGTCTTGGGAGATCACTGGAGGACTGTGTAAAGCAATGATAGGCTGTAGTTACCAGGTGGGGAAAATTTTAGTGGCAATATACAGAATGGTGTGGGGATGGGGAGCAGCTGGGAGTAAGCAACAAGAAGGATGCTGCAATAGTTCACAAGTAAGGAAACAAGGGATTTGGCTGTGGGGACACGCAAGAAAAATAAACTCATGCCTTGTTATGAAGGAAACTACTGGATAGAACAAAGGACTTTTAGGTCTTAATGTTTGGGATATTCTGAAATTTCCAATCAACTTTTAAACATGAATTGGCCTTGAAACAAAATTACTGAAATGTTTTAGCTTTGTCTAATAGTCCTTGCTTAAAAAACACCCCAAAAACCGTGATGAGCAGCTTTTGGTTCAGAGTGTACATTCCTCAGCACACATGATCATATCATGAAGTCACTCAGTTTTTTTAACAAAAGCTGCTGGGGTGGGGACATGTGTCATTTCCTGCCTTTCCCAGAGCTGGGTATTGCTAGAGTTTATTACAGTTTGCTCTGAGCCAGAAGAAAGTAGCTCCAGAAACATCCCCTACCAGATGGTTTCCCTAGTTTCCTCGCAGAGGAGTGTGTAGGTAAGGGAGTGGAAGCAGAGAAGTTGATGGTTTATATGAAGGTGAGTCCAAATATGTGCTCAAATACAGTGTAATCCAACATAAAATCTCTGCTGGCAGGAAGGCGTGCATGCACATCAATTTAGTTAGAAATAACTTGCACAGTCCCACCCAAAACATTATGGCCACTCTTATTTTCATATCCTTAGACTCCTCAAGAGAATATGTGGGTCTAGTTGCAGGTAATATCCACCCACCACCCCCCAAAAAACAATAACAAAAACAAAACTCAACTCTAGACCAAACTTCTGTTGAAACTCTGACTCAGAATAAGTAAGAAGAAGAGGCAAAGTCTTTTCATGTTTGCTTTAGGTCTGCTTCCTAGACAGCAGTTTGTTCCTGCCTGTCTGTCTTCCTTGAACAAACCTTTATGGAGTGTCTGCTGCGTGCCAGGCATTGTACTGAGTGTTGGGAACTCAAAAATGAATAAAAACAAGCTTGGAGTCTCAGTTCTGTTCTTTGGGCACCTCTAATTCTAGTGTGCAAAATCTCATGTCAGAGATTTGGATCAAATGATGAGAAAGTGAGAAGGGGTAAAGGACAAGTAGAAATTTCAACTGCTTGGTGAACAATAATTAAATGTTAACTTGGAAACATGCCTGAGAAGAGGCCGACTTGGTGTAGTGAATGAAATCATGAAAATGTCCACTTTCATACTATTGCAAGTGACCCTCTAAAACATGCTTGAGGACATTGGCATCAAGATCATGAGCACAGTCTAATTTGCATTACTTCCCATTAAGTTCTGTTTGCATCTTTCTTTGAAGTTGCTACCAGTAGCGACAGTAGAAAAACATAGGTTCTGGAGTCAGACTGCCATACTGCGCATCCAGGCTCCATTTCTTATGAGCTGTGTAACTTGGAACAAGTCATTTAAACTCTCTGGACTTTAGTTTTCTCATCTGTTAAATGAGAATAATAACAGCACATATCCATCAGGGTTGTTGGAAGGATTAAATGAGTTTTAAATGAGTAAAGTGCTTAAAACAGTGCCCTGCATTGGTAAACATTCAATCACGTTAGCTGTTTAGCTATTATTATTAAAAAGAAAATGAGTCCCTTTTTGTGGCCCTTTCAGAGCTTTTCAATTAAATTGAGGTTTAATGTAACATTTGAGGTGAATTACCAGCTCCCCAAGGCTTGAACACGAAAGCAGTTAATGAGTTCCCAGGCTATTATCCAGATTTTTCTGTTAGCACATCTATTCCTGGCCTATTGTGCCTTACAACCTCCTCTAGGAGTTTGTTCCTGAATGCCAAGCAGAGTTTTGAGCATTTCTTAGCGGTGCTCAGAAGGTGGTATTTAACCTAGCATGGAATTAGGCAATTGGGATACTCTCCAGTTAACTATCTTATAAAAGTTATGCTGCTTAAGCATAGATAATGTCCTCAGCTTTCTGAAAAATTATGCCCTCTGGCTAAACTTATGTTGCTCTTGAATTATTTAAGGAAGACTCCAAGCACTAGGCTTTTTTTCAAACCACAAGGTATGGGGGATGGATGAGATCAGAATGTGAGGCACTTAGCAGGTTGGCAACTCTTCTCTGAGAGTTTCTTATAAGGAGACCACAGGAGAAAATACT